TTGTTTGGTCTTCCAAAAGAGGACATGACTACAAATCAGTGGTTAAGTTGTATTTACAACCAGGGGCGATTCTAAGATTTTCGTTTTAGGGGGACTCAGCCCCCAATGAGGGTATAATAATAAAAAATAATAGTAAACATATAAATAAAATAAAAACATGATTGACTAATAGGGTAAGGTGGTAAACTAAACTTATTGTATTCCACTCTACTGCATAGATAGGTATAACATTTGAGTACTGAATAAGCCATAGGAGGTTTTTGGAGATTTTGTCATGTTTAGCTCACTTTTGGGTACAAATTTGTCCACAAAATATGGTTAAGTAGGTACACACACGTTTAATATTTGCATACTATATATAAAACGATCATGTTGCCATTTTTACGGTATTTGAAAATTGTACTTTTAATATAAAACATTGATTTGCATATGCACTGTAATCAATATGTTTTATATTAAAAGTAAAATTTTCAAATAAAAATGGTAACATGATCAAATAAATGAACTTTTCCACGACATTCTAATTTATTGAGATGCACCTGTAGTATGTGTTTATATAGCCTATTTGTTAAGGGCTTCATTTTCGCTGGAGAAAACCGCTATGGTGTGATGAGGGGTGAATAATTTAAAGGGGACTGAGGCGATCACAAATTCATGTACAGTTTATGGAGCTAATCGCAAAATTTTTAGGGTTGAGTGATCATTTTAGGGGGGCTATAGCCCCCTAAAAATGGCCTACCCATTTCATTAGACCAAATACACAAAATAATGTTATTTTTAGCAGCATCATATGACCCCTTTAAACTTTAGAATGAGACTTTGTTATCACATGTAAGCAGCTCAGTCCATCTGTCACGAATTCGGTCCATGGACTTCCGTTTATTCACCACCAGAGGTCACCCTTTCCATTACATTGACTCTCGCACAACACAAACTGTTGCATAGCACCCCGGACTACATATCCCATCATTCTTTGCACGATTTGCACACTGCACTGATTGCACTCATTGCACACAGCTGTTTCTAATCACCTCACTCACTATATAACACCCACTCTAACCACCTTTCTCTGCTGAGTATTGTTTAGCCCGTACCCCATTCCGAGTCTCTGAGTTTTCCTTGTTTTTGCCTTGCCTTGCCTGTTTTCGCGGTTTCTGATCTTTGCCTGTTTTTCTGGATTTTTCCCTCTCGTCTCGCCCCTGTGATTCTGTCTGCCGATCGGTGACCTACGCTAGCCCTGGGACTAT